AAGTAACAAAACTTCTGAGGGAGGAATTGGGTTTCCCAGAGAAGTTGTGGTTGCCCCACAGTGTTCCAGGCCAGGTTGGATGGGGCTTGGAGCACCCTGGGCTGGTGCAAGGTGTCCCTGCCCATGGCACAGGTCCAAACTAGATGATCTTTAAGATCCTTCCAACCCAAACCATTCTGTGGTTCTATGCAAGAAATTCCTGGAGGAATGTTGGAGATGGAGAGATACGGATCTCCTTTAAATGAAGCGTGTTCACTGTCAGGGTTGTCAGGCACTGGAATAGGGAACTGCCCAACCTGTGCCAGTGCCTCACCACCCTCACAGGGAAGACTATGACAGATACTTGTTGAGGTGAACAAACCAAGTTGGTGATCCCATGGTGGTCCATGATCAAAGACATTTTGCACCCAACATACTGGAAATAATCAAGGCCAGGAGGGATGGAGCTCAGAGCCAGCTGGTCTGGGTGAAGATGTCCCAGCTCATTGCAAGGGGGCTGGACTAGATGATCTTTAAGGTCTCTTCCAACCCAAACTGTGACATGATCCTATTGATTCAGGGCTGACCAAATGAGGGTGACACAGATTCTGCCCAACTCCAACACATGACCAGGAGTTGGACTTTGCTGCTCCTTGTGGGTCCTTTCCAACCCAGGATATCCTATGATTCCATAATTCAAGATGCTCCCACCTATGGGAAATACACCCAGAGACTGCAGGGACTAAGAGGACCCAGAGACCTCCCCCATGTGAGGGATTCCTTCAGGTCACACCTGAGGGATGGTTTGTGCAGTTTGGCTTTGCTTTCCCAGCTCTGAAGAGGAGGGAAATAACTCTGCCTACAAGGCACCACTGCTTCAATCCCTCCACGTGCTCATCTCCCACCTGAGCTGTACAGAATGTGCAAGTTAAACTCCAGTTTGGGAAGGAATGAAAGCACTGTCATCACACTTTGCCTAAAGCTAACAACTGCTCTTAGAGAACTCCCAGCTCCATGCTCAGCCTCAGAGAGAACGTACACATCTGACACAACTTACATAGCAGCCTTGTAAAAGCTTCCACAAAAAGCAGTAACTGCTCTAAATGTTGCCCCCAGAGGAAAAATTAGCTGAAGAAATACGGAAAGCAACAGGGAGATTCAGACTCCCACAGAGAGATGATTTTTGTCTCGCGTTTGAAAGTGGAAAAGGAGATTTAAGGAAGGAATTCTGCAGTGGGTTTTAACCTCTTGACATGTTCACTGTGCAGTGGAAAGAGAATCACAGAATCACTGAGGTTGGAAACAACCTCTAAGATCATTAAGTCAATCTGTGACCTCACACCACATTGTCAACTAACCATGGCACTAAGTGCCACTTCCTGTCATTCCCTGCAGACCTCCAGGGATGGTGATTCCACCACCTCCCTGGGCAGCACATTCCAATGCCTGACAGCCCTTTCCATGGAGAAATTCCTCCTAGAATCATAGAATCCTCAAGGTGGGAGGAGATCTCTGAGATCATCAAGTCCAACCATTAACCTGTCAGTGCTGAAACCCCTAAACCCTAAACCAGATCCTCCAGTGCCACATCCAGACACCTCTCAAACACCTCCAGGGATGGTGACTCCACCACCTCCCTGGGCAATTCCCTATCCCAGTGCCTCAACACCCTCACAGGGAAAACATTTCTCCTCACATCTCC